GTTGAAGGCTCAGACATCAAAGAAGGCGTATGATGAGAAACGCAAAGGCAAATGGAAAAGCAAAGGCAAGGCCAAAGGGGAATCTTGGTCTTCTTCAAGAGATGATGATCACAAAAGTGGTTCTTCACAGCAACGTGGTGGTCATGAGAGGAATTCTAGCAAGAATCAAAGGGTGGACAAGAAGAAAGTTGAATGCTATAATTGCAGGAAGATTGGTCATTTTGCACGAGAATGTCCAAATGGTAGAAGTGAACAGAGAAGGGGTGACAATGAGGCCAATGCAGCTCATGAGGATTCAGATCAAGAACCCCTGCTTCTCATGGTAACCACCAGCTCTAAAGATTCTTCTGTTTCTTTAAATTCTAAATCAAACTTGTGGTATTTAGATACGGGTTGTTCTAATCACATGACTAGTCATAGAGAATGGCTAATTGACTTAGATGAAACTAGAAGAAGCACGGTTAAGTTTGCTGATGACAGAACACTTGACATAAAAGGATGGTAGAACTGCAATAATAGAAGATGTGTTGTATGTGCCTGGAATGACTTGCAATCTGTTGAGTATTGGCCAGCTGATTCAGAAAGGGTTCAAGGTCATTATGGAGAAGAATTCTTTTGATTTGTTTGATGCTAAAGGAAGATTGATCTTGAAGGCTCCACTTTCAGAAAATAGAACCTTCAAGGTTAACATTAAAGCATATGAGGTTCATTGCTTGAAACCCTCAGGATCCTTACAGGGCAGGGAGTCAGATTGGTTGTGGCATGCTAGATTTTGTCACTTGAATTTCAGAAGTTTACACCAGCTTGGAAGTGATGGTATGGTCTTGGGATTACCGACAACAACGATCCCATAGAAGATTTTTGAGACCTGCTTTACAGGGAAGCAGACAAGGAAATCTTTCACTGTTGAGTTAGCCATGAGAACTAATGATCTTCTTGGGGTTGTTCACTCTGACATTTGTGGACCCTTTGAAGTTAATTCACATGGTGGAAATAGATACTTCATCACTTTTGTGGATGAATTCAGCAGAATGTTATGGCTATTTCTCATTAAAGCCAAGAATGAAGCACTTGGTGTGTTCAAGAGATTCAAGGCAGAAGCTGAGAGACAAAGTGGTAAACTTCTGAAAGTGTTTAGGACTGATGGTGGTAGAGAGTATACTTCACATGAATTTGAAGAATTTTGTTCACAAAGTGGTATTCAACATGAGAAGACTGCACCCTATACTCCTCAGCACAATGGCTTGGCTGAGAGGAGAAATAGAACTCTACTTAACATGACAAGAAGCATGCTGAGGGAGAAGCACTTGCCACAAGAGTTTTGGGGGGAAGCAGTTTCCACAGCTTGTTATATTCTAAACAGATGCCCTACAAAGAGATTGAAGAAGCGAGTACCACTTGAGGTGTGGACAGGAAAGAAGCCCTCTGTTAGCCATTTGAGGATTTTTGGGTCTTTATGCTTCAAGCATGTACCTGATCAGAAGAGGAGGAAGCTCGAAAGCAAAAGTGAACCAATGATTCTTATAGGGTATCATCCAATAGGTGCATATAAATTGTTTGATCCTGTGAAAAGACAATCTTGTTTTAGCAAGGATGTTCATGTTGTAGAAGATGAGCACTAGGGCTGGAGGTTGAAACAAACTAGTCTCAACAAGGTTCACATTGCAACGGAGATGCTTGAAGAACAAGTCACTGATGGAGAAAGTGAGGAGCATCTACCTGCAATACAAAGACAAAGACAAAGACAAATAAATCTACCTGCCAGGTTCAATGAATTTGAAATGGCAAGTGATGCTGACATTTCTGAGGAGGGTGAACTAATCCATTATGCACTTATGGCAGATTCTGAGCCACTTGATCTCAATGAAGCCTTGAAGCAATCAAAGTGGAGATTGGCAATGGTCGATGAGCTTAAGGCAATTGAGAGGAACAGGACTTGGGAGTTAGTAACTCTACCTCAGAATAAAGTTCCAATTGGAGTTAAATGGGTGTATAAGCTAAAGTTGAATCCTGATGGATCAATAGATAAACACAAAGGAAGGTTAGTTGCTAAAGGGTTCTTGCAAAGGCATGGACTGGATTATACAGAAGTTTTTTCTCCTGTGGCTAGGATGGATACAATTAGAGTGGTTGTTGTTATGGCTAATGCAAGGAAGTGGAGTTTACATCAGCTGGATGTAAAATCAGCATTCCTGAATGGTCCATTGGATGAGGAAGTTTATGTAACACAACCACCAGGGTTTGAGATCAAAGGCCAAGAGCACAAAGTCTACAAACTTAACAAAGCACTTTATGGACTCAATCAGGCTCCAAGAGCTTGGAATAAGAGAATTGATAGCTTCTTGGAGCAGCTGAAATTCATTAAGTGTTCAGTGGAGCATGGAGTCTATGTGAAGAAACAAGGAGATGAGCACATCATGATCATTTGCCTCTATGTTGATGATCTGCTAGTGACAGGATCAAATGTGAAAGACATTGAAGCATTCAAGATGGTTATGAGCTTAGAGTTTGAGATGACAGATCTAGGTGAGTTGACCTATTTTCTGGGAATGTAGTTTACTAGAACATCACATGGTTTACTTATGCATCAAAGTAAGTATGTGAGTGATATCCTTAAGAGGTTCAATATGGCTGGTTGTAATCCAGTGAATACACCTGCTGAGGTAAATGTCAAGATGAGAAGAAGTGATGTTGGTGAAGCTGCAGATCCTACATTGTTCAAGCAGATTGTAGGGTCATTGAGGTTTATGTGTTCAAGCAGGCCTGATATTTGTTATGCAGTGGGTCTTGTGAGTAGATTTATGAGTGATCCCAAGCAAACTCATATGGGAGCTGCTAAGAGGATACTAAGATACCTGCAAGGAACTCATGATTTTGGAATACTGTTTCCAAATCAAGCTAAGTCTCAAAAGGCATTGCTGACAGGTTTTTCAGATTCGGATTATGGATGAGATCTGGATGAGAGAAAGAGCACATCAGGGTATGTGTTTAGGTTCTTTGGAGCTCCCATTTCATGGTCTTCAAAGAAACAATCTGTGATAGCATTGAGTTCTTGTGAGGCAGAATACATTGCTGGTTCATCTGCAGCTTGTCAAGCATTCTGGTTAGATGAATTGTTGAAAGCTTTGCAGATTGAAGTGGAGAAGCCCTTAAAGGCTTGGGGCTCTAAAGTTTGTTAGAGTAATGAAAGATAACTTTTATTTGTTAAGGGTATAAAGTTTTATTTTAAATGTAAATTTCACTCTTGTAAGTGTTCATTGCATAATCTTAGACAATCAAACAAAACAAAAGGTGAAATTTGAGTATCCTACTTATAAGAATAAATAGGATGATTCAAATATGAAAATAATTTTAATCCCCTTGACTCATAGGTGTAATAAATTTTTCTATATGACAACCATGAAAATAGGAAATAATTAGTTTAAACTACATTTTCTTAATTCAAAATAATTTGTTTTTTTATTTTAAATTTTAATATTCAACCTTACGATCGACTAATTTAAGGGGACGAATTTCACTATTCACTTATGGGGAGCCCACTTAAAAATTCTTTAAGTTACAATAGGATGTGAAGTATTTAATAATTAGTACCCATAACAATAAGAAATTTTTTTAAACAAAGTTCTATCACTTTAAAGAGTCATAATTTCAAGGTTTTATTATATCGATATTTTTTATAAAAAACAGCAAAACAAATTTGCATTCATTTAACCAAGTAGCTTAGATTTCAGTGATAGAAAAGTTCCTAAGAATGTAAATCGAGGAATATCAGGTTCAATTTTTAGGTGCGAATAATTCTTGACCAATGCTCATACCTCTCGGCACAAACTCTAGATTACTATTGTTTTTTTCCCTAGAAACCAGAATATGAAAGCTAAAAAAGTTGCATTCATTTAGCTAATGATAATAAAAAATAAAGAGGAGGAATATTTTTACTCTAAGAGTAAGTTTAAAGGCTTATTCTAAATCTTAATTCTTGATTTTCATTAATCTAACGACTTTGATTGATTATTTATATATAAAAATATTTCAAAAAATAAATAGATCAAATGATCAATTAAAACAGTTAGATTAATTAAAATCAAGAGTTAAGATTTATAATAAGTCTTTAATACTGACTCTTGGAGTAAAAATATCCCTCTTCAAAATAAATTGGTACTCAATCACTACATCCTTGTGGGAACTATATATAAAGAAAGGATATTCTTACTTTAAGTAAGTTATTAACACTTACTCCACATTTTAACCATTAATTTTTTTCAATTTAACAGTTAAAAATAATAAATAATTAAATATGGAGAGAAAAAACTATTATTTATTATTTCTAACACTTACATTGAAAAGAATTAATGGTCAAGAATTAATGGTGCAATTATATATATAATTGCACCATAATACCGTGCTCTTGGGGGGCTATAAAGCCATGGATGTAGTTAACTTAGAAAGTATATTGGGTTTTGATGATTAGAACTATGGAAAGTTGCATATACACTTCTTCTTCTTGAAGATCAACTTGTAAAAAGAAATTATTTGTGTAAATGTCTTTTCTTAGAAGTGGTAATGTCCAAAACCAACCTAAAGTAGTCATTCTAACCACATGTAAAAAAGTTTCAAAATCATTCACTGCTTCTAATTGAGCCTAACATGTAACCACATATCTAGATTTGTGTCTTTCTATACTTCTATCTGATTTTAGTTTTGTCTTAAGAAGCAATTTGAAGCCTATAACTATCTTTATTTAAAGGTAATTACATAGTTAAAGTCTAGGTTCTGCTTAATTCAAGAGCATTGATTTCCTTACCCATAACATTTTTATGACAATCATATTCACTAACTATATATAAGAGGAGATAATAACACATAAACAATTCTAACATTTATATGTTTTATTCCTTAATGTAAAAGTTTAAAAGTGACATCAAATATAATAAAGACTACAATTAAGAGCACAATTATATGGTCCTGTATAATCAAAGACTTCAATTATAGACATTTGTCTTCTATTTACAAATTCTTTCCTCATCTGATTGAGGTACATCAAGAGCTATTGAAGACCATTGTCTAGAAAGTGATATTGGTGTAGAAGAAACAGAATTTCTAGGATGATATGCTGATATTTTCTTCCCTTTTCCGTCATATATAACAGCATCCTCTTCTTCATCAGGCATACATTTTCCACCTAATATAATTGTTTTCATCCAAACAGATTCATCACCTTTTATCTTCTCTTTCTTTCCTATATCATTCTCCTCTTTTTTATCCCAATTCTTTGCCAAAGATAAACTCCCTGGCATTTTCATACTCAAACTAAACGATAACTTACGTTCAGAAGTTACCCTTTTCACAAATTCTGAATCTATGTTGTTGGCTTGTTGCATGGAAGGTGGAAGAGGTAACTCTTTCATCAACATTTCATTGTTATTATTTCCTTCTGCTAATGTATTTTCTATCTTTGTTGTCTCCATGGTACGAGGTTGTTCTTGTGATATAAATATTGTTGCATTTGCGTTTGTTGTTTCTTGTGTATTTGGTGTGGGTGTTGGTGTTGTAGATGAATTCTTCATTGTTTCTGAAATATCGAGTGGATTAGACAATGTATGAGGCTGTGGTTTCGGTGTTGCTGGAGATTTTCTTCTTCGAAATCGAACACTACATAGAGTCATGATTATTGCAATGCTTGCTGCTAATGCTACAAAGGAGAATGAAAAATATAGAAACGAAACTATTAATGAATTATTGGCATTGTCATAAGGGACTCTTCTTCCCATGACAATGTATGTGATTTCTATTGATTACAATTTGTTATATGCTCTTTGTTTTGCATCTACAAGTTGAGAAATTTTTATAGAAACATATAAAACTAGGAAAATGATTAAATGACCAATTTTGTTTTTGTTTTTTGTTTTGTTTTGTTGAGTTTGTTGAAGAAAACCAACTAAGATTGCTCGGCTTTAAGAGTTGGAGGGAAAGATCCAGATATGAAAACCAAAAAGGCATAAATTTGGAAAATTTCTTTGATAGGTTGAGATTTTATCTACTTGTTGTATTATAATATTATAATATTATAAGAAACTATTATTATAATAATAATAATAATAATAATAATAATAATAATAATAATAATAATAATAATAATAATAATAATAATAATAATAATAATAATAGTGATAATAATAATAATAATAATAGTAGTGATAATGATAATAATAATAATAATAATAATAATAATAATAATAATAATAATAATAATAATAATAATAATAATAATAATAATAATAATAATAATAATAATAAAGTAATAATTATTAATGAAAAAAAAAGAATATGCATTGACAGTAAATTATTTTTATACTGGTAACCAATTATCCAATTAAAATTTTTTTTTTATTTTTTTTTGGAATGTAACAACTTTATTCAAACCAAAAAACAGCTGCACACAAGGCGATGATACAAAGTTCCAGCCCCAAAACAACTAACAAAATCTAAGGCAACATAAGATTAGCTAGATAATTTTTAATCCTAGGCTTTACCGAACATCTCTGAATAACAATGACAATAATCTTAGAAGCTATGCAAGAGTTATCTTTTTTTAGACCAAAACAATTCATATTTCTAAACCTCCAAGCTTCATAAACCGTTTCTGTAAACGCCACTTTCTAAATTGCAGACTTAGGACCTTTGCCCTTACTATTAACTAGCATCCAGTTCAGCTCTTGGTCCCAACTGCCCGGATGGTGCTGCACGTTGAGCCACTTCAGAACCTCTTTACAAATGGTCAACATGGTTTTGCAATTAAAGAACAGATGTTGCGGACTTTCTTTATCAGCGTAGAAAATACAGTTTTCATTATCTAATAGCTTAAACCTATACAATCTATCTTTGGTTGCTAATCTGTTATGACAAGCAACCCACGGGAAAAAATAAGCTTTTGGTCAAGCCATGTTATTAAAGAAAATCTTTTTCCAAAAAACATCTAGATCCATACTTTTCAACTCAAGATACACACTCCTAGTGTTAAACTTATCCAGCTGCAAGTATTTTTTCTAGTTTACAAGCTGCCCAACTACCAATCTACGCCTCAATATCAATTTTTAGATCCAAGAACAGTTGGGTTTCACCTGGACAGACATGATCGTGTCCCCATTGACATAATAGCAGTGAATCCATTTAATCTAGAGGTTGTCCGCTTTGCCAGACAGATTCCAGAGCAGCTTCAAGGCAGAAGCTGTACACCATGTTTTGATGTCTATAATATTTAAGCCCCCCTGGTTTTTTGGTTTACAAGAGTCTTTCCACGCGACACATGCTTTCCTAGTAATTTTCTCACCTCCCGACCAGATAAAAAACTACAGATAGCATTCACCTTTTTAATGATAAACTTAGGAAGCGGAATTCTTTGAATCCAGAAGTTTGTCATGGCAAAGATCACACTTTTTACAAGATGCACCCGCCCAGCAAAGCTAAGGAGCTTAGAAATCCAATGTCTGACTCGAGCCACCATCTTATCCACCAGAATAAGACATTGTGTTGTCGTGAGTCTCTTGCTAGACAAAGGAATGCCAAGATACAAAAATGGAAGAGAACCTTCATGAAAACCAGTCAGTTGCAGAATTTCTGCTTTAGTACCCCTATCTACGTTGCCAAAAAATATTTTGCACTTAAGGAGGTTGGCAGCCAAACCTGTGGAAGCAGAGAAGTTCTTAAACTCCTTCATAAGAAGTTGAACTGAAACAATGTCGCCTCTCGCAAACAGAAGGAGATCATCCGCAAAGGATAAGTTAATTATACCCAGCTTCTCACATTTGGCATGGAAATTGAAGTTGGGATTCTCATGAAGCTTAAGTAACACCATATGAAGGTAATCCATAACCAATACAAAAAGCAAAGGAGAGAGAGAGAGAGAGAGAGAGAGTCTCCTTGACGGAACCCCCTCTTAGCCACTAGAAGGTCCGTGAGCTCTCCATTAACTTTGTACTTATAAGAAACTGTGTTGATAGTCAACATCACCCACTCAATGAATTTATAAGGAAAGTTCATTTCTTTGAGGATGGTTTCTAGGGCACAACACTCTACCGAATCGTACACTTTTTGGAGGTCCATTTGAATCATAACTCTAGGGGGGCACTACATCTACTATAACCTTTAATTAACTCAGAAGCCAACAAGATATTGCCATGGATATGATTACCCAGAATAAAGGCAACTTGGCTTTGATGCACAACCTGACTGATGACCCTACTAAGTTTGTTGATCATCACTTTAGAAATGACCTTATAGATAACAGAGCAGTAGGAAATCGGCCTGAAGTCACTAACATTAGCAGCATTACTATTCTTAGGGATGAGAGTCATGATGGTATTATTTATAGCCTTGTACATTTTTCCTTTCTCAAAGAATTCTCTCACAGCTTACAGAAATCCAACTTAATAATACTCTAAGTTGATTTATAGAACTTAGCACTGTAGCCATCTCCCCAAGGGGCAGTGATATCCTTTATGCTCTTAAGGCCAATAAAAATCTCCTCTTCAGATATAGGTGCAACCAGGGAGTCACCTTGATCTCTATTTAACTGACTACCTCTTCCCATAGCTTCCACATTAATACCCACCATATTAGGATTCAATGAGCCAACCAACTTACCACAGAAATCATCCACTTCCTTCATAATTGTAACACCCCAATTCTAACCGGAAATTATATATGCAAATCAAAGTTATAAACAGTCCTGCAAAGGAATCAGGATGCCACAAATTCATCTTTAAAAACACATTGCATTCATCGTGGATACATAACACTTTAAAACTTTAGATGAACCATCAGTATAATACTTTAATCTCTTAATTCAACAATTTAAACATCTGCGCAGCGGAATTCATAATAACATCTTTAATCATCGTTACAGCAATTTCAAAACAACACATACTTAATAATAATCAAATTAAAGTTCAGCAACTGAAATAATCAACAAACAAAAGCAACAAGCGTTCATCCCCCCGAGTGTTACATATCAGAGCAATGACACCGACTCGAACTACTGAAGGTATACAGCCTTCACTCTCGATTACCTGCACGTTACCAACGTAAGGGTAACATTCAAACAGAAGGAGTGAGATATCTAACAATATAATAAAATGTATGATAATTAATATATTAAATTAGATCACATAACACCACCACTTCTCATCTCATAATCAACAATAATCACAACAGAAATACCTACTATAATCCAAATTCATCACATCAATTCACAACTTCTTTATGAAATCATATAATGCGACTCAATACTATGCAAATGCATGTGGTACCATTGGAGCAGAACTCTCATCTTAAGAATCTGCCAATAAATAGATGCATCAACGAGGCATAAGCCTTCATCTTAATATTTTCCAATACATGCCATCTTAACGAGCATAAGCTCCATTTGAAATGCAATGTATGCGACACCATCATGAATGTAATGACAACACCATAATTAATAACATCTCAACACAAACGTCATCGTTGGCCATAAGCCTACGTCTTAATAGCTGCGAATTATTAGAGGCATCTCAACATCTTTCATCAACATCATTCATCAACATCATTTATCATCATAATTCATCAAACATCATTTATACATCATAATTCATCAAACATCATTTATCATAGACAACTCAGCCATATAGTAATACAACAGTAACTCATCAATCTCGGAATGTTGGCCATAGGCCTACAACAGGATATTACCTATAACTAGCTAATCAACCAAGGCTTACTTCTAAATTACCAAACCTCCGCATATTACTATTCTGTAATATTACACCATTATCATCATTAATCCTACTGTTACAAACCAGACAGTAATCTATAAACGTCTCATCCTCATCCTTCTTCACAAGAACCAACATAGCGATTACCGCAGGAACTAACTCCAATCCTAATTTGGATACTAGAATTATCCCTCATATTCTTTATTTTAATCCTTAAGAATGAAGTTCATTGCGTTAGCTATTCAAAGCTTCGAACGACACCTCAAACAGAATCCAAAAACTCGAGTTACAGCCTTTGGAAGACGAATCTGTCAAAAACCAGACAACATGGATCGACGCATAATGCATTGGGTCAACGCTTACTGGGTTTAACACGCCACATGAGTCGACGCATACTCTCTTATATCGACTCATACTGAGCCTGCAACACTGCATGTATCGGCACATGCCCCTACGTATCGACTCATCCTGAGTCTAAAAGCCCTCATGTATCGACACATGACTCCTTCGTGTCGACTCATCCTGAGTCTAAAAGCCTTCTTGTATCGACACATAACATTTGGGGTTGACACATACTGCTCTGCCCTGAACAATTTCTGCGATTTTCTCTGCATTTTCACTACGGGTTCCATACTTTAGGCCCTAAAAATATCATCTAATCATAGATAATCATCACTTACAATTATCCTATAATTCTACATCAAATAAACAGCATTGGGACCTCATTATTCATCTTTCAATCATCGATTTCTATCATACAACATCATATATAATTCATTCATAAACCAAACAATCTTTCACCTTTAACCTCACATATCAATTATCATGAACCCTATTATAGATTCAGAACCCCATCCTTACCTAGGATTGAAGGTTGCTCTATAACTTCCGGTTGAATTTTTGTTCTGCTCTTTCCTCCTTTCTAACAGCTTTCACGTTCTTTCTCTAACTCTTATTCTTCTTACTACTTCCTTATTTCTTATTATTTCCACAATAATAAAATAACCCTATTATTCTCT